TATACACACACACATATATATTCTCTCATCTATCTCTCTATATATAAATATAACCTTATATAACCACTTGCTGTCCTGGAACTCACCATGTAGACCCAGCTGGCCTTGAAGTCAGAGATCCACCAATCTCTGTCTCACAACTGCTGAGATTAAAGACATGCTGCCACAACCCAGAACCACCTTCCCAGGGATGACACTACTCACCATGGAGGAGACCTTTTTGGATCAATCATACATATCAATATCAATCATTAAGGAAGACAACATCCGACAGACTTGCCTACAGGCCAATCTGATGAAGGCGATCTCTCAATTAAGATTCCTTCTTCAGGAACCTCAGCAGTCCTTATAGAGGACCTGGGTCCCGTTGCTAGCACCCACATGTGCCACAACTGTCTGTAACTCCAGCTCCAGAGAGTCTGATGCCCTCTTCTGCTTCCCATGGGCACCGGGCATATGTGAAGTGCACAAATATACATACAGGCAGGTACGCATTTTTAAAAAAAAGTGTTTTAAAATTCCTACTTCCCAGATATATCTAGCTTTGTGTCAGGTTGACAAAAGCCAACCAGTATAGGAACGACTCTTTCACGAATGACAGGCAGCTGTCATTTTCTAGGAGAAATATTCTGAGGGTCTGGTCATATAAACTCATCAGTAACTTTTTTTTTTTTTTTTTTTTTTGAGACAGGGTTTCTCTGTGTAGTCCTGACTGTCCTGGAACTCACTCTGTAGACCAGGCTGGCCTCGAACTCAGATATCTGTGTGCCTCTGCTTCCCAAGTGCTGGGATTAAAGGCGTGTGCCACCACCGGCCGGCGATCAGTAACTTTCTGATAGAGTATTAGACAGTTTGCCTCTACTGTGGTCAAAGAGCAGACCTGACCACTTTACAGTGTTTTAGATATCCTTTATCCTGTTATGGCCGAGGAGGGTAAAATGCGTTGTGTGTAAGCCTTCCCTTTCTGTCTCCATCTCTGTGAGATCTAAGTCAACCAAGAACCCTATACAAACTTAGTGATATGCTACTTCTGTTATACGTTCTTATCCTGGGTATCCATCCAGGGCATCCTTGGGAGTCTGTGAATGAGCACAGTTGCCGCTGTGAACCTGATTCCAGACTGCTATAGCTTGAGATCAGCTTCTCCAAACCGCAGGTATTATATCCTGTCCTGGCTTCCAGGATGGATGAGGCTAGGATGTGCCTTAAGCAGCCTGGAGCTACCCTGGAGAGAAGGGACAGGCACGGACATGCCCTTGCAAGTCATTATGAACACCTGTGTGTTCTCATGTAACAGGAGAAGGGGCAGAGAGGTAGGCCAGCAGGTATGCAAACAAGCAAAGAGACTCTGTCACAAGAGGCCCTTAGAGTAAGATCCCCTCCTGAACACATGAACAAGTTATAGCTGGAGCTGGACAGAATCCTTCTAGAAGCTTCTGAGCCCTCTCAAATTCCTTCTTTGGATCTCTGTAGGGGGAAGCTTTGGTTTGATTTTCCTGCTCTCAAGATGTAGAGAGAGCCCTTGACAAAACATCTTGAAACTGGTCTCCAAGTTCACAAGGAAATACATCAGTCAGGTGTGGGCCAGGCTGGATCAGAGCTGCTCTTCAGAGTTAGGAACAAATAAGTTTGAGGAGAAAGGGAGGGACCCTCCTGGCACCTGCTGGGGCAAGCTAAGGTTCCTGTTGAATTCAGAGTGTTGAAAGCCACAAAGTAGGGTGGGAGGCAGAATCCTGGCTTGGCCCCACACTTATCCTGGTATGACATATTGGAGGAGGGCCAACCCAAAGAGGGAGGGAGCAGAATCCTGGGGTTCTTTTTACTCACCAAGGTGAGTAGTGGGGTTGAGCGCATGTTATTGGAAACAAAAAAAAATCAGAGCTGAGTATGGCACTCAGAAGTCAGAGGTGGGCAGATCTCTGAGTTCAAAGCCAGCCTAATCTACAAGGCGAGTTCCAGGACAGCCAAGGTTGCCCAATGAGACCCTTTCTCAAAGCAACAGCAAAAACAACCAAAACTCTCCTCTTAAAAACAAACAAAAACAGAAAAAGGAAATGCAAATTCAATG